AGTTGAGAACCAACACAGAAGACTCATCCTTAGGATTTTGTTGTGCTAGAACCACCCTCGGTACCAAATGTCTTAGGCTGAGTTCTTTAGAACAAAGCCAGTGAAGGAACAAAGCCAATTAAGTATAAATATATATATATATATATATAGAGAGAGAGAGAGAGAGAGAGAGAGAGAGAGATTGAGATTTATTTCAAGGAAATGGCTCACACTGTTGTGGAGGCTGGCAAGTCCCACATTCTTGGGTCATGAGTCAGGCTGGACGCTTCTCCCAACTCATGTAGCTGCAGGGGCTGACAAATCCAAGATCCAGCAGGTCAGACAGCTGGCTGCTGGCTTATGGGCTATGGAGGGTAATGAATCCAAGACAGGCAGGTAAGACAGTAGACTGCAGAAACTGACAAAGATTGGGAGGTAAGATGGCTGGCTGTTGGCTCACAGGCCATGGAGGCTGATAAATCCCAAGAACTCAGATGATGTTGAGCCAAATGTAGACTCCAGAGCAAGCTAATGCCTTGCTGGAATATTCATTTATATATGGAAGTAGCCAATATCCCTAAGGAAATTTGCTTTCAACTGATTGGCTGCTAATAGCAGATCTTATCATGGAGGTGATCACATTATATCAAATCTCATCATGGAGGTTATTACATTATATCAGATCACAAAATGGGGGATAGCTACATCATTATATAACTGCTAAACTACATCATAACTGCCAAACCACTGAGAATCATGGCCCAGACAAGATTACACACAACCTTAATCATCTTACACATACAGAGGAAAGGATGAAACATTATGAAAACATACTAACAATAACAGGAGCTTTGGTAGAATAGTGCCTAAGGCACTTGACTGCAAACCAGAAGGCTGGTGGTTCAAACCCACCAGCCACTCCTTGGAAGGAAGGTTGGGCAATCTACTTCTGTAGTGATAGTGCCTCAGAAACCCAAGGAGGGGTCACTATGAGTCGGGTCTGATTCCACGGCACATAACAACAACAACTACTAACGATAACATTTGTTCATTATGGGTGATATATCCTTTAGAGAGAATTCAGATCCTTGCTATCTGAGGTTTGAGAACCAGGCCCAGGAAGCATCCCTCCATTGTGGCTGATAAGAGGCAGGATAAAGGAAGAGGTGGGATGCTCTAACAGCACATAGGCAGGCACCTGACCAACTTCTGAGATTTCCAGATGACTTCTAAAAGGACACTGGATGTTTCAGGGAGTAGCCATGCCAAGAGAGTGAGAGGATCCAAGCCAGGGAAGCCCTGTGGGTGGAGAAGGGGTGAGGGTGGGCTTGAGCGGGACAGCTCTGGTGGACTGGGTCAAGAAATCTGACTTTCCGCAGAGGAACCACAAGGGATTCTAGCCAGAGGAGTGACAAATGCAGGTTTGTCCTATAGGAAGATTGCCCTGGCTGCTGGTGAAGAGAGAGAGAGAACAGAGCAAGAATGGAGCCAGATGAGGCCACTGGGAAGGACATGGAGTGGAGAGCTGATCTGGAGGTGGAAAGGACAGGGCTTAATGGAGGTGGATGAAGGAGAGTGGAAAGCTGATTGGGTGGAGGGTCTGAGGGACATGGTGCTATAGTACAAGGAATTGGAGACCCTGGGGAGAAGCTGCTTCCTGTGCTATATTTCAGACATGGTGAATTTTGGGAATCCAGAGGAACTCAAGAGGAGACACTGAGTGGACAACAGGAGCTCATGGAAAATGCTTGGCATCACACCATAAGGTGGCATTTATGCCTCAGAGACAGTGAGACGTCTAGGGAGAACATATAGTAAGAGGCAAGAGGCCCTGGATAGGCCTCTGAGAAAGTCAATATTTAAACAAAACTCAGAGAACAAAGCACCTACCAAAAACCATTTTAGCATGTCCATAGCTAAAGCAAATGGAAGAAATGACAAGATAAAAGAGCTGAACAGAAGATTTCAAAGAGCAGCTCAAACAGACAAAGCCAATTACTATAATAAAATGTGCAAAGACCTGGAATTAGAAAACCAAAAGGGAAGAACACACTCAGCATTTCTCAAGCTCAAAGAATTGAAGAAAAAATTTAAGCCTCGAGTTGCAATATTGAGAGATTCTATGGACAAAATATCGAATGATGCAGGAAATATCAAGAGAAGATGGCAGGAATACACAGAGTCACTGTACCAAAAAGAACTGGTGGATCTTCATCCATTTCAGGAAGTGGCATATGATCTAGAACCAATGGTAGGAGGAAGTCAAAGCTGCAATGAAAGAACTGGCAAAGAACAAGGCTCTGGGAATTGACAGAATACCCATTGAGATATTTCAACAAACAGATGCCCCATTGGAGGCACTCACTTGGTTATGCCAAGAGGTTTGGAAGATAGCTACCTGGCCAACTGACTGGAAGAAATCCATATTTGTACCCATTCCAAAGAAAGGTGACCCCACAGAATGTGGAAATTATAGAACAATATAATTAATATCACATGCAAGTAAGATCTTACTGAAGATAATTAAAAAACGTTCACAGCAGTATATTGGCAGAGAACTTCCAGAGGTGCAAACTGGATTCAGAAGAGGACATGGAACAAGGGATATCATAGCTGTTGTCAGATGGATCTTGGCTCAAGGCAAAGAATACCAGAAAGATGTTTACTTGTGTTTTATTGACTATGCAAAGGCATTTGATTGTGTGGATCATGACAAATAACACTGAGAAGAATGGGAATTCCCAAACACTTGATTATACTCATGAGGAACCTGTGCCTTGACCAGGAGGCTGTCATTCAAACGGAACAAGGGGACACTACATGGTTTAAAATCAAGAAGGGAGTGCATCAGGGCTGTATCCTTTCCCCACACTTATTCAATCTATATGCTGAGCAAATAATCCGAGAAGCTGGACTATATGAAGAAAAACGTGGCATCAGGATTGAAGGAAGAATCATTAACAACCTGAGATATGCAGACAATACAACTTTGCTTGCTGAAAGTGAGGATGACTTGAGGCACTTACTGATGAAGGTTGAAGAATACAGTATGCAGTATGGATTACGTCTCAATATAAAGAAAACAAAAATCATCACAACTGGACCAATGAGCAGCATCACAATAAATGGAGAGAAGATTGAGGTTGTCAAAGAATTCACGTTGCTTGGTTCTACAATTGATGCCAATGGAAGCAGCAGTCAGGACATTAGATGACGTGTAGCATTGGGAAGGTCAACCGCGAAGGAACTCTTTCAAGTGCTGAGGAGCAAGGATGTCTCCTTGAGGACTAAGGTGCACCTGACACAAGCCATGATATTTCTAATCGCCTCATATGCATGTGAGAGCTGGACAATGAATAAGGAAGACCGAAGAAGAGTTGATGCTTTTGAGTTGTAGTGCTGGTGAAGAATGCTGAAAGTACCATGGACTGCTAAAAGAACAGATCTGTCCTGGAGGAAGTGCACCTGAAATGCTCCTTGGAAGCGAGAATGGCCAGACTTCGTCTACCTACTTTGGTCATGTTGTCAGAAGAGACCATTCCCTGGAGAAGGATGTCATGCTTGGTAGGGTGGAGGGTCGACGAAAGAGGGGGAGGACTTCAACAAGATGGATTGACATGGTGGCTGCAATGATGGGCTCAAGTATAGCAGGGATCATGGATCTGGCACGGGATCAGGCAGTGTTTCATTCTGTTTTACTGTCTAGGTTTCTACTTCTGGGTGTGAGGTTGATTGTCCCAGGTCATAGTGCCCTTTATCGGGAATACCAAACACAGGCATCTGGTGCCACCCTCCCCCTCAAATAGTTTGTATTCTATTTATTACAGTAACAGACTTTTAGCTAATGGCTCAACAATCTTTGTTAATCACCAACAGTTTGGGTTCAAAAGGGATAATATATTAAAATGCTTTGAAAACAAGTCTAGTATTAGAAATGGCCCTTAATGATGCCCATTATTTGCTTGTCACCTTGTCAATCTGGCCATGTATTTGAAAAAAATATAGCAAGCAACAGGATGTCAAATTTAACCTGCCTTGTGACTACACAGGAGCTCTGGTGGCACAGTGGGGTTTAGGCATTCGGCTGCTAACCAGACAGTTGGTGGTCGCTCCTTAGGAAAAAGATGAAGCAGTCTGTTTCCATAAATATTTACAGCCTTGGAAAGCCCATGGGGCAGTTGTACTCTGTGCTATAGGGGCACTATGATTCTGAATCAATTCCATGGCGTGGGTTTGGGGTTTTTTGTTTTGTTTTGTTTTATGAATATACAAAGTAAAGAATAAATTCACTAGAAAACACTCAAAAGGCATTCAAGCTTTGGGCATGTGATTTTAAAATGGAAAGGTGACCAATCTGGCTGGACAGAGGCTTTCTTGCCTTCTTAACTCAGCTGACCCAGTAGTTGAAAATCAGAAAAACCCTGAAAGGTCTCCAGAAAGGAGTAGTTGGCTGGCCGGGATGAGTGATGTACATATAGGAGCTTCATGCTCAGAAATGCCTAGAAATGAACCCTTATCTCTGTAGGGACTGAAGATGGTGTGTATGTCAAAATGATGGTCATTTTGTATATATTACAAACACACAAGCGTACACACTAAAAGATGTTTGACTTCACTGCTGTTTCACATATATTATGACTAGGAAAGAAGCTCTGGGGGCATAGTGCCTAAGGCATTTGACTGTTAATCAGAAGGCTGGTGCTTCAAACACACCAGGCACTCCTTGGAAGGAAGGTTGAGCAATCTACTTCTGTAGAGATACAGCCTCCGAAACCCAAGGAGGGGTAGCTATGAGTCGGATCTGATTCGAGGGCAGCTTTCTTTTTGGTCACAACCCTGTATCTAGATGTCAGGTATAAAAGGGCTATGATCTTTCTTGCTCTGTGTTTTGAGCAAGAATAATGGTATCCCTTGCTCCCAAAAATTGTGGTTAATTTTTCTGAGTGCTGCTACTATATGAAACTAATGCTTTTCTTCTAATGTTTCTTCCCCCTTGGGCCCTCTTCTCTTCACCACTGCAGGAAGGGTGCCTGTGGCCTTCAGACAGCACCATGTCCCAGCAGGGAGCCTCAGAGGTAAGGGGCTTGGACAAGGATGAGTGAGCTGGTGAGGTTCTTAGCCTGCAGTATTGCAAAGCTAGGGGCTAACCCCATATGTGGACCCCATGTGGGAAGGTGGTGGGGGCAGGACGTTGCAGGGGGTGCATGAAGGAAGAGAGAAACCATTTGCATAAAACTGATAGGAGGATTAAATGTGTTAGAGCATAGCTTAAGAAATAACACTTTATATTCAAGCAAATGCCTATAATTGAGTTAAAAAAAGGGGGGAGGGGGTCTTCCTAAAATTTTCTAAGAATTTTTTCTAAAGCTCCTTACAGAAAACCGCTTGAGGATTACTAATCTATACATGATCCCATAAAGTACTCATAATATGGCTTGGCAGATGTGGGTATGGTTATATAGCATGATTAATTTCCATATCTCCAGGTTTAATATTATGAATTTTAAATATATTTTTCCCTTTATGTTAAAAATAAGATCTGAGAGAAGCCAATGGCTATTTTAATACATATACAAAAGATCTTTCTTCCAGCAGAAATTTGGATGGTGGAAGAGATGATGATTTTGTAAGAAATAGACTACCTGCAATAATTTTGTAGGAAAAGAAGTTTATCAAAACATTTTGTTCATGTCAGTGACTAAACGACAGGAAGGAGGTGTTTCCCGGTGCAAACTTTTCCTACCCTGCCCGGGGGGGGGGTTATTCGGATGTTGGAGCTGGCAGCAGGGCTCACCAGTCCAGACGCCAGCACGTAGGGACCGGCAGTTCGCAGGCCGCCCTCACGCCTCTTGCCCTCTTCTTCCAGATCATGTACGCGCCGCGGCCCCGGGACCGCTTCGCCGCGCCTGCCTTCATGCAACGGGAGCGCTTTGGCCGCTTCCAGCCCACCTTCCCATACCTGCAACACGAGATCGACTTGCCGCCCACCATCTCGCTCTCGGATGGCGAGGAGCCGCCACCCTACCAGGGCCCGTGCGCACTGCAGCTGCGCGACCCTGAGCAGCAGCGAGAGCTCAACCGCGAGTCCGTGCGTGCTCCGCCCAACCGGACCGTCTTCGACAGTGACTTGGCGGTCGGCTCCCCGTTCCGCGGAGGCCCATGCCCGCCTAGCTGCCACTCTGGCGTCAGCGCAGCAGGCACCGGCGGCGACGAAAGAGCCGAGGGTCCGCCCCCAGCCTACAGCGAGGTGGTGGGCCGCGGCCCCAATGCCACGCTGCTGCGCCCCCCTGGCGCGGGCTGGAAGGTGGAGGGTCTCGCCTGACAACCGCCGTGGGCTCCAGCCTTGCTGGTCCTCGCACTGTGCTGTCCCATAGCGGCCACTGAGTGAAACAAAACGGTGTCAGCGCGGGCTTCGCTTCCGATACTTTCCAGGGGAATTGCATGCCGAACCGATTGAGTAATACAAACTTCTATTCAATCTGAGGAACTTGGGGTCGAGGAATTTGGGGTCGAGGGAGGGAGGTTAGCAAACGATAGGCATGGGGAAAGCAGAGAAAGGTTACTTTTAAAGTATCTTAAGATAAAATCCACAGAGCTATTTGATTTATTTAATCCTGAAAGAAGACTTTTCAGAGAAATTAGGCCAGAATGACCTGTTTTATAATTAACTGAATGAAGAAGAAAGTGTTATATGTTATCATGGGGAAGAACTGGCCAGTTTGCTTTTTCTTCCAGAGTGTGGAACTTTTATCTTCTTTTAGAAATATGAATCAAAATTGTTGTTTGTGTGCCAAGGTATAAAGTGGACACAAAGATGAATTCAAGGAGTTAATCTGTGTTGTGATGATATTTTTAAAAGTTGCACTATCTTAATGCTTAAAATATATATATGAGGGAACTGTTTTATGATGAAGTTTTGTAAGTCTTTTCACCTGTGAAGTACTATTAGGCTCAAGGTATACTCTGGAGTGTTCCCTGTCACATTGCAAGAAAAGATCTTTTGGGAGTATATAGTATATAGCCTGGTATATACTAACAACATAAATCAAGAAAATCACTGTTGCTGCAATAATTGCACTGAATAGTAGTGTATCATTGAAGCATTTGGATACTCTTAGATGGAAGATAGGAAATAATAAGATTCCAGCATTTCCAACTTGTTAACTTGAGCTACTCTGCTAGTGGTGGGTTGCATATCTGATTTAAAATAAATCCAACATTTACATATTCATTATCCTACAATGCTGTCCCTCAACCCTCTGGCAATGTAGTTTCTTCAGTAATTTACACTTTTTCCCACTATAGCTTGAAATATATTTAGATACATTATTTTATGCAATAAATTGTTTAAAATGCAAAGTGGTCAATTTTAATACTATTTAATACTAATGACATCTCAGTGTATTCCTGTTGTCCCTCTTCTTACCTAATTATTTAAAGTTAGTACTGAAGGAAGGTGAATTTAACAGGGGGAGTTCTGGCTGGCACTGTCATTAGCAGGTACTTAATGTGGGTGAGACTGGTGCTGGACTTTGGAAGTATAGCAAGACCCTGGAATTGACAAAAGATCACTAGGATGCCAATCTTGATAAGAAGCCATTATATTCTCACTGGCAGCAGCATAGTACTCTCATAGGTGCAATTCTCCCAACCTGCCCCACTCCTATTAAAGGTGACCTAGCCCTTCCCCCTGGGCAGTTTGTGCAATAGGGGCAGAAACTGGACAGTCAGCTACAAAACAGTGGAAGGATGATTTTAGTGACTTTGAGAGCACAGAATAAAAAGCACAACATGCACATAAAATGCAATTAGAAAACTAGTTTTAAATCATGCTAGTATTAGTTTTAATGTTCCAGCTGTTCACACACATTTGTTCTCACAATGGCTTTCATGAAGCCCAGCAAGTGTTGCTGTGCAGAGAAGTGCGTGACTGCAGTGTCCATGCTGTTGTTTGGAGGTTGGATCTCTGCACATAGTGAAACAGTGATGAGACTTTGACCTGTGCAGAGTTGGATCTGACTCATAGTGACCCCTCCTTGGGTTTTGAGGCAGTATCACTACGGAAGTAGATTGCCCAATCTTCCTTCCGAGGAGTGGCTGGTGGGTTTGAACCGCCAACCTTCTGATTGGCAGTAAAATCTCTTAGGCACTACGCCACCTTAAATCAGGGCAGGTATATCTATGTCTGTGTGTGGGTCTCAGGTCACAAACTGGAGAGCCTGTTATGAGCTAGAAGTGCTGTCCTGATTTGTCTGCTCAGTTCTGCTGCTTATTTTGGTGGGTAGTTTGCCGTTTCTGTTTTGAGGATGTAATCTCCATTAGATTCAGCCATTCCACACTAACATTCACAGAACTAGTAGAACTTTTAAAGAAAAAAGATGCAACAGTTGTCAACTCAGGCTCAAAGCTCTGTTTTAAGTGTGATCCTTGAAGGTGCTGGTGGGAATTTTAAGACTAGATTCTGCCTTGTGATTCTCCACTTGCGCTTCTCCGACAGGGAGGAGAGCAGCTCCATGGGCAGTGTCTCAGAGGCTGGGCTTGAGCCCAGGGATATCCTTTCCCACTGCTCAGCAGCTGGTTGCCTCTGCTTAAAGAAAGTTGGAAATCACCTAACCTTGATCTGTCAGGTGAAGGTCAGGAACATTTGGCCAGGTCAGGAGCCTATTGGTGGGAATTTGGGTTGGATTATTGGTCATGTTTCACCTAAGATGCAAAAGTGCGGAGGTTAGCTAATGATTTCATGATTCCAAACCTTGCCAGCAATTTTGGTAGAGTGAGTGAAGGTATTCTATATATATAGCTCTAGCTCAAAGAGAAGTGCATGTGGTTTTACAATCTTTATTTTTCTACCTGTTACAAAAATTAGCTAAGATCAGACATTTTTAATTCTTTAGTAACTTTGCGGGTATAGGAATGCTTTTCAGATGTCCAGAGTATTGGTAAAACAATTATTTAACTGAAATTACTTTAATTGTCCCTTGAGAAAGAGGTTCCTCCTATTCAACAGCGCTGGAGAACTGCCCTTTAAGTAGTTATTTAAGGACACATACTTATCAAACCATGAATTTGAAAGATCTTTTAGGCTGGGCCTCTGTCATAAATTAGTTTAAAAACCAATGTTATAAACTGAACTAATAGTTTCCCTTAGGCACAGGGAAAAGATTATTTAGATGAGTAGCTCTTTTGAAGGTTCTGGCTGTGGCTTATCTGTTGGTGCTATGTCCCTTTACCCCTGGCATGATGTCAAAAGAGCAGTGATAGTGAAGGGGCAGTTGACACAGTGGAGTGTCTTGTTCTTTCAGGAAGTCCATGGAACCCTAGGGTCCACTTTAGAAATCAGTAGAGTTTCCAAACCAATAGTTTAGAAGCCATTTGGAAGTTGGAATCAGACTCTGCATGTAGCAACATAGTGATGAGACTTTGACCTGTGCAGTGTTTTAATGCCAAATTAGGATAGTGTATAAGAAATTGATGACAGGCTTATAATCTCAGTATTATTTCAGTAGAGTGTTACAACAAAGTATTGCTTTGTTCAAAAGAAGAGGTAGCAGAAATTTAAACTTTTAGGTATACTTCTCAGCAGCTGATAGCTGCATAAGTTAGAAGAAGCCTTTAGCTCCAGTGGGCCTGGAACAAGAGGCAGAGCTGAAGCCCAAGGTCAAGGGGCCTTCACTCACTATTAATTTGGACTTCTAGCCTCCTAAACTGTATAAGAAAAAATTCCTGTTTGTTAAAGCCATCCATTTGTGGTATTTCTGTTACATACAGCAGCACTAGAGAACCAAGACAGGCCTCTGCCCTGTCCCAGCAAGTATTACAAAGCTCTTCAGTTCTACCAATTAGTATGTGAAGGCTACCCACTCTGTTAGGAAAATTCCTGCCAAAGGTACTCAGCTTTCTTGCTCTGTGTATGGGCTGGCAACATTGCTCTGTCTTGTGCTGGTCTCTTGGTTCTGCTGCTGCTTTCTCTCTGTTGGTCTCTCTGCTGTGGTCACAGCACAGAGATCTCAGGTCAAAGGATGCACTCCACTTCTTCCACATTTTTGGTATCTGTTAGAGCAGCACCCCACTCAGCACCAAATTCTTAGTTCTCGGGTGCTGCTTTAAAAGAAATACCACAAAATAGATGTTTTTTTAACAAACAGGAATTGATTCCTTTACAGTTTAGGAGGCTAAAAGTTTGAATTCAGAGTGCCAGCTCTAGTCACTGGGTAAAGGCCTCTCAACCTTGGGCTTCGGCTCTACCTCTTGTTCCAGGCTCACTAGAACTGGAGGCTTCTTCTGACTCATGCAGCTACTGGCTTTTGCGACTGACAAACCAAGATTGGCAGGTAAAATGACACTATCCCAAGATCAACAGGCATATGGCAGACCACTGGTTCAAGTCTAGGAACAATCCCAAGATCAGCAAGCAACATAGAAGGCCACTGGTTCAGGTCCAGGAACTGGAGTTGGAAACTCAGCTAAATGCAGAATCCATATGTGTCAAAAACTAGAGACCTCTCTCAAAGCTTCTCCATATATGCTAGAAGCAGGCCACATGCCAAAGGCAACTATTTAGCTGCTCATATCAGATTCTACCGTGGAGGTGATTACACCACATCTAATCTCCTCATGGGGAATAACCACATCCATCTGCCAAGCCACTCAAAACTATGGTGCAGCCAAATTGACACATAACTTTAACTACCATATTTTACCCTTTGTCAACTTGGTGCCTTTACAGATCTCCTTCATTGGGTGGCCCAATTCTCCTAGTCCATCTGAGTGGTGACCTCACCCCTGTGGCCTGGCAGGCCTCATTCTTCTGCCCCTTGGGCATAGCAGCCCCCCCCCCCCGACTTTTGAGCAGCAGATATGGGCCCATCCCACTGCCACTCATGTATGGCAGCCCCACAGTCTAGAACTGAGGTGGTGAAGATCTGACTCTGAAACCTAGGAGAATGTGATTATTCCTGTGACACCCCAGAGACATGGTCCTACCCTTTGAAACTGAGGCAGCTCTGCTTCCTTGGTCTCTCAAAAAAGCCAACCCAGCCTCTGCCCTGTTCCAGTAAAGTATTACAAAGTTCTTCAGCTCTACCAGTTAGTGCCTGAAGGCAACCCGCTGTACCAGGAAACTTCCTGCCCAAAGGCACTCAGCTTGCTTCTTCCGTGGGTCAGCAAGCCCATCACTCTGTCTTGTGCATGTTTCTTGCTTCTGCTGTCACTATCTCTCTGATGGTCTCTCTGCCATGGTCTCAGCACAGGGATCTAGGGTCCAAAGACATGCTGCACTCCTGCTTCCACATTTTAGGTGTCGGTTAGACCAGCACCCCAATC